TATTTCTACAATGGCCATCATCGGAGTCTTTCCTACCTATATAACCTCCTAGATTATTTTCAGAATCAGCGGAAAGCATTCAAATAATTCACATTTATCTTTGTGCACTATATGACATATGGGTGACAAATTCATACTTTTCTTCGGATTTCAAGTATAACAGCCATGTGGAATGTTTGAATGAAAAGTAAACCAAATTCTACCTTTACTAGCACCATATAATACTAACGAACCAGGATTGAGATTATATTTTTATAAGTCCTGTTGCGATGACCAGAGAATTCCGCGTAATCCGCTCAATCAAGATATGACCAATATTATTTGGTCGCCTCCTTTTTGCCCGGAGAATCTGTAAACATCAATGAGCATTATCAATTGAACTATTCTCATCAAGGCACAAGTGACTTAGTCATCTGCATTTCAGCTCAAGTTGCCACATCTGCTCTGAAGCCCCACTCAATTTTGGAACAACCTAGTAATTCAATATCATCACATGTCGATAGCCACACGCATGTGAGCCAAGACTATTTCTCATCTTTCATATTTTACGCTTGCATCGATAAAAGTCATTGGCAGCATAGCAGATACTATCCTGAATCTACAACTAGATGTAGTACCACTGATTTTGCGTTCATTAAGATAGCGCAAGACCAAGGTCCACAATATATTCTTGACTGCCACTAAACCTCATGCCACTACCGGATGCGACTAACTCTGACTACCATCAATGCCCTAATTCCATAAACCACGATCACCACAACCTACAATGCCACTCACCTACATGCCACTGCACGTCCACCACTAACCTCATGCCACTAACCAGATACCAAACTAACCTGATACCACATAAACCTGACACACTACCTTCATGGCCACTAAAGCCATCATGCCACCTAACCTCATGCCATTCACAACGTCATTGCCATTAAACCTAAGCCACAACCTCAGAATACCACTACTTATGGTAACTAAACCTCATGCACCACTAACAACCTGTTGCTACCTATAAAAATGCCACCAGCCAACAATGCCACATCAACCCATAATGCACAACTAAACCAAATACCACCTAACCTACCACATGTATGAAACTAACCTCCCATGGCCCCACATAACCTGCTGCATAACTATCTTAGATCGTCACCAGGCGTCATGCCACTAACCTAATGCCTAACCTAACCTAGATACCACTAACTTCTTATTGTTAACTAAACGCATGCCCCAAAACTACTTAACAAACGCACCTGTTTTGGGGGCCTTTTATCTACATATTGCTTAATTTCACACCGCCTCTTTATGACCATGCCCAATAAGCGCTAATTTCCACTAACCTGATACCACTGACCTTATGAACTAAACCTTCATGCCACTTAACCTCTTCGTCTACTATGCTTAATTGCCACCGAGCTCTCATCGCAACTCTAAACCATAATGCCTGACTAACCCTATACCACTAACCCTTATGTATACTGACCCCTCTGTCCCACACCACCACATAACCTGTTGCTAAAATCCCTTAATGCACACCAGACCTCATGGACCAATAATACCTTAATGTCAACTAACCTGATCACCACCCCTTAACCCTTCATGTCCCACTTGAAACTCATACCACTTAATCTCATGCCACAAACCTCATCCCACAACTAACCTCGATACCACTACAGCCTGAATACCACTAACCTCATGGCACACAGTAACCTGCATGCACTATCCTTTAATCATGCCACTAAGCGCTCATCTGCCATTAAACCTAATTGCCACTATCCTGATACCACTAACCTATAGTAACTAAGTACCTCATGCCACTAATCCTTGTTGCTACTATATTAATCGCACCAGCCTCATGGCCAATAACCCTAATGTCAATACTAATTAACCTGTACCACTAAACCTCATAGTCAACTACACATCATGCCTAGCTAACTCATCATGCCCGCACTAAAACCTCATGCTATAATCCTTTGATACCACTAACTTTAAGATACCCACCTAACCTCATGCCACTTAAACCTCATAACACTAAACCTACATGCCAACACAGTCATGCCCACTAACCTGAGAACCACTA